TAATATATTCGTCAGCCTTTTTTATGCCTTTAATGGATAGAGACAGCTGAAGGTAGACAGGAAAGTGGGAGAGAGAGAGAGAGAGAGAGAGGGGATGACACGCAACAAAGGGCCACAGGCTGCAATCAAACTCAAGCCGTCATGGTAAGTACTTAGTACAGGGGCCGCTAGCTCAACCAGGCGAGTTACTGGGGCGGCCCAAAGCAGGTTAACTTTCAACTCAGAAAGTCTCTCTGAGTCAACATTGAGCTCAACAAACACAACAACATTGACTTTGATGCTGAGCGGTTGGTGGACTTTAGGGTGAAAAAATACAGACCTAAAACAGCCGTTCATGAGTTGGTTTGCCATTAGGCGGTTAACGAAGCAAACCCAGTTGCTTAAAAGAACCCGGTCTTGTCATGCCTAGCAAGCAGCCCATCCTGAGTCAGTTGCAGTGGGTGAATTACCAAGCAAGCAGGAAACTCTATCTATTTTATCCATTTCCTTTAGTTAATTATTTAATGTGATGGAGTACTTGAATTAGTTGGGTATATGTATAAGAAATCTGTATTAGCTAGGTAATGGATAAACAGTTGAAATAGTTGGCGAAAAGTAAGACAGATAAATGATTGTAATCCAGTAGAAATAGTCAGTTTTTATAATAGCATGTGGTACAGTAACAGCCAGTTTATAATCCATTCATAAGAAACATTTGCAACATGACGGATATGGTCATTGAAGGGGTTACTTGAGCTAATCATAAAAGGTTGGGAATCACTGGTGTACAGGCGGGAAGCACGCACCAGAGAGGACAAAGCAGAAGGGGTCAGTGAATCTATTTGGAATGGGTTGAGGATGAAGGGGACAGAAGGAGAAAATGAGTAAGAAATGAGGCGGGAAAAGAGTGAGATGGGAAAGGGCGGATGGTTAAGTCAAGGTGGGTTGGCCAATCCAATCTAATCAGTAGTGCATTAAGCCAATCAATACGCATGCCTGGACACCTGTCACATGTTACACAAAGAACACACACTGTTGGACAGCTCAAGGACTTTACAGAAATGTCATTACCACGTTACCTCAGAAGCATATAAACAATACGATGGCACACAATCACACACAAGGGCGATGTGCACGTGTGCAGACACTATCAACACCTCATGCATGTTAGAACGATAGGCTGCAGCACACAGAGGGCTTGGAGGTGTTATCCTGTTTGTCTTGTCTCAGCAATCCAATCAGTTACAATTATTGGAAACATATGAATAGGCGTGTCAGGCTCAGAGGGGATCAATAAGCAGGTGCTCCTCATTATCATCAATTAGCCCCTAGGGCAGCATTTGAGTTTATCTGTCCGGTTTAGCCATGTGGGCAGAAAACAGGCATCCATAGCAGCAGTGACAGGATCATTCTGAATATCCAGGTGTCAGGTCAAACTCGGCTGTTAGGACGCCTCGGAGTGAGCTGCTGTTCCGCTCGGTTTACTTCTTTTCATAGAAAATGGTTAAAGGAGCACCTCAAGAGATAATGTTAGTGGGTTAATCTGGAATTAAGCTTTAGTACTCAGTCAATCAATAGATTCTCACCTACAATCAGACGTCTTTCAGAGCAAAGTGCTTCAGGAAGTCAATGGGAAATGGAAGACGTGATTGATTGGATGGATTTAGTGAAACCTGCCTCAAGCTATGGTTTGCAGCTAGGTTTTATTGACAGGACACATCAATAGCTGTGTTGATTGACAAGTGTATGTACAATAATGGATACAGAAAGCTACAACAAGTGGTAATCAAACTAATTACTGATTACAAGAAGAGATAAACACCGCCTGGAAACTGGCAGTCCACATATTTGTCTGGAAAACCGAGTCCTATACTTTATCTCTCGCTTAACAACATAAAGAAATGTCATATTTAAATTTTTAACTAAAATGCATCCTTTCTCCTTTTTCTTCTTTGACATATCACCCAGCCTCAATTTTTCATTAATTTGGTGATAATGGAAACATTTTGTCATTACATCACACCATGAGCTGTGTTACTTTTCCAGTACAATTTCATGCGGGCTGATGTGGCTGCATCCCATGCTGTCCTTTTATAATATTAGAGTGTCATAAGTCCTAATCAGTTGATCTGCTGCTGTCTCTGTCTCCCTCTGCAGAGTTTGTTATGATGCTTTCTGCACGATGACCTCTGATGGAAGAGGATGGAGCATACAACACTGGATTTACTGGAAGGCTGTCTTCTTCCTGCTGCTTTTGTCTCATTATGGACTAAAAAATGCCTGATTGTAAACACACAATAGAGTCAAAGAGATTTGTTTATATTTTCATAATAAAAGTTGAAGTTGAGTAAGTGCAGAGGGGAAAGGGTGAGTTATGAAACACTAAACTCTATGAGACAATAATGCTGCGCTGTCGCCCCCTTGTGGTTAAGAAGGTACAGACTTTTTTAGGTCTTAAAAATAAAGCTTGATTTATTTTATTTACCCAGTTTTTTTTATTTTATCTTCAGGTTTGTGGGGGACTAGTATAAACATATGCACATACATGGGTTATGGGCCTTAGTCTGTGTGATAGAGTCCTACATGAACACACTATTTTCTGCTAAAGTTGGAATAGTTCTGGTTATTTCACGAGAGGTTTGTGGTTTTTCCCCCCCTCTGTGCTCTTCCGATTCATTTAAAATGGACAGGGCTTTGTCATTTGGTTAAGCAACATTTTAATTAGAATCTGTTAGTGGTTCAACTGGATACCACCAATCAAACTTTCACTTTGCTCATGAATATTCAATGTTATGGAGAAAGGTTTGGAGGGTTTTCAACGTCAGACCATCGCTGTGAGGTAAAAGCTCCAGTATGCTGCAACTGATTGCTTGATTGGTGAAATAGTGGACACTGAGGCTTAAGTTGAAAAAAGAAATGCATTTATTATTCAAATTGATAAATTAAAACATCTCAGCAAAAAGCAAGATCTTTCCAAAAAGCCTTTTTACAGATGATTTACATACAACAACCTTGACTTGAACTTTCTTTCAGATTTTTTTTATACACTGTGAACAAATGATGCCTCGCACTAACCGAGAGGGAAAACAACATAATTAAAACTTACTTCATACAATGGCAAAAAGGAATGGTAACCAAGCCAATGCATCGTGTTATTCACAATGCAAAATGGTGTAAGGCAAATGCAGTCCCTACTGAAGCACTGCTGGTACCGTCCTCTCTCCTCCAAGAAGACCAAGAGCAGCTTAGAATGAAGAATAATGCTAACCCACTGGCTGTATACATGCTGTTATTGTATTGTTTTGATCTGTCATAATATTGCAAGACCCCCTTAGAATTTCTCATACAAACACGTCAGAATGTACAAATATATTTTTTACTTATAAATTAATTCAGTTTTAAGTTAATTCAATGGGTAGCTGGATCTTTTGGTTTAGAGGAGAGACAAGTAATACAAGAAACACTTCTTTTCGGAAGATAGTCCATACAGCTTAAGGTTAACTGTGAGAGGAAGAAAAGTGTTCGAAAAGTGTTTAAAAAGCATAGAAATAAGATGAGATTTCAGGGCCACTAATGATCGGACCCAGTGTTCAAAGGGATGAAATGAACGATCTCTGTGCAACTTGGAAGAAACGTACAGTGAAAAATGCTGGGAAGGACAACAGGAAGGTGTTTTGCCACTACTTAGAGGCAGCGATGGAAGTGGTAAGAAAGAAACTTGATGCTTAGAAGAGATCTATTAATACTTTCATCAGTTTTTGGTACACATACGCACATACACCAGCCTTAAGTTGCACTTGGTTTTTGCACAAATCTCTCTCTCGGTGGTTCCTCCAAACCACATCTTGCCATCACTTTTTGGACTTTCAGCATTTAGGATTTTGTTCCACAGACTCACATGAACCCTCCTCTACAATAACACACATCTTCCAGCCAGGAGGCAAACCACTCCTTTTCAGTGGTTTCGCCAGACGATGCAACACAATGATGATGCCTTCTTCTCCTCAGCTCCATAAGCACTGTCCTTAAAGAAGGTAGCCTCAAGGGTGGGACTGGAACTGCTCTTCTCATTTCAAAAAGATCATTTGAGGAAGGTCTCTTATGAAAATGAATTGCGTTAACAATGAGAGCAGATAAGAATAGTTCCTGTTACATTTGTCTTATTTTTTAAAATAATTTTAACATTCACAAACAGATCATGTGTGTCATTGGAAGTATCCCTGAGGTGGTTTGCTCACATCTCTGGTTTCAGTGAGCCACAGTTCAAGGATGTTTCAGCTTTGCTCGGATCTTGTGTAGGCTTAGTACAAAGGGGTCTTGTTGAAGGAACCGGATGGCAATAGAAACAAGAGTTGGCAAGTTGTTGATTCAAGGTTGCTTGAATTTTATTTTTAAGTCCAAAGGATGTTTGTGGTGAAGAGATGAGGAAGCTCTAGTTGTTGGGGATGCTCTGTAGATATGTGAGGATTTGCTGGATCTTCACCAGGCGTTCTTTGAGGCTGGTCATAGAGAGGACAGAGAGCTGGTAGCGTGGGTCGATAGGCAGAACAGCAAGCAGCCACCAGCAGCAAGCTGGACCATTAGGAGTTGCCTAAAAGAGAGAAGGAACAGTATAAGACTGCTGCTTTCACAACCAAAAATCTTTCTCAAGACCCGTAATATTATTTGAGTCACATGGATCAGCTTACTGTCTAGAAGGTGAACAGCACAATGTGACAAAATTACTTTGGGATGTTTGCAGTTTTAATTATAGATACAATATTTAAAATATTCTGGTTCTGAGAAACAGTTTTTCCCTTTTCCCAACCCAAAGAAACAACTGTGTCAACATTTGAAACTAAATATGACTCTTATCTATCATGTGTGGCAAATCACTACTCAGGTCCAACCAGTACCTACGTAGCTCCTGTGTAACTGTGCCGCTACATTCTTGTTCATATACCAGACAGACAGAGGCCTCACTGTTCTCCTATCTGCCCTCTTTTGACATGATTTGTCAGAGCTGCAAGGAAATCCATTCACCCGTTCATTCATCCAAACTAATCTGCAGACAAAATAATATGGATTTAACTATTTAACAATCCTGCACTCACCACAGGCCTGTAGCTGCGTCAGAGTTAAAGCCTTCCAGTGTCTTGAAATTAAACAGTCCAGTTTCATAATTGATAATTCAGTGAAATACTCATTTTGTATCGACAACCACATGCACTGGCATTCTCTACAGTTCAAACATAGATGACCTTTTACGGTAATCTGCCAGAGGAATGCATGTCTGCGTCAGACTTACACCAGTGAAAAAAATCCCTGTTTCTAGTCTGAGCCAGTTACAAAATGTGCTTAGCACTTTGACGTGAATGTTTGCTATGTCTGTACTACATTTTACATTTTAGATTAGATTAACCAAAGAAATTAAACACCACCACCAAAAATCACGGTCAATGCTTGGCTGTTTTAGTGTGTGTGCACATGGCAGAGTTGGGGATTCTTTTCGTGACACTCCTCTGACGCAACAGGACCGGTGGGATTAGGTATGAAGCACCCATAAAGCTCTTTAGCCTATATTGTCAATAGACTCCGCCCTGTGGTTGTCATAAGAGCGGCGCTGTAATCCTTTTTTAGCGCTGCAAGCTGTGAGTCGGAGCCAGGGCTGAGCACACACAACTGTGTTCCCGCATTAAGACCTCTGAGGCAGGTGAATCCATGGTGATGTGGGTTTCCCCAAAAGGCAAGTGTGTCATGAGATGATCCAGTTTAAGACTAACAATTCACAGTCTCGCAGTGTCAGAATAAGTAATAACGGCTGTGACAACCACATGTACGTGAGGCAGGCAGGTAAACAATGACTTCTGATTCTTAGCAGACACTACCCTCTGCTTAGCTGTGATACGCTGCCAACTCACTGCTGCAGACTATTTTCTCACACTGACCAAAACTGACACCACTATAATACCACGTTATCATGTTATCACATTCCAGTTTACTAATTCTAAATCACCACAAGCTCTGTTTTGAATTCTTCACACTGTTCACAATATACAGTATTACAAATAAGGCCAATATCAGTTATTCATTTAAACCCATATGCACCAGCTAAGTTAAAGGGACTGCATTTAAGCTTCTGTATCGTTAGAATACCCAGTTTCAATATTTTTTGGAATGGTCGTGCACCATTCCCTCATTTTCCCCTGAGACGGTGGAGAAATACGGGATTTCAGTTTGGCTTGCACTTGCCTGCTTCCTTATGATGGATTGGAAGAAATCCGTGCATTTTGCATCACTGGGGACAGCAGGAAGTCTCTCATATCTTTGTAGACTGGGGGGTGGGATACAATGTGAGACTACAAACACTCTTTTCTCGGTCAAATAGGCACCAAATTCAAAATTTATGTTACATTTCGACTACATATATAACCCACTTTCAATAAAGATTAATGTTTCCACGGGTGAAATGCTTCTTTAAATATTGTTGTGTGCAAAGACAGCAAATGCAAGGGAACCACCACAGGCAAACATATATTTCTATTGTTTAAACAGACTCAAAGACCAGTGCAAACATTTGGTCTAACGCTCTGCCTGTGACTCAGGCATCAACACTCCTGCTACAGTCTACAGTCTAGTGCAGCATGCACTATACAGCGATGTTTCATATTTTAAGTGTAATTAACATTACACTCCTTAAGAAATCTGTTTACAATATAGTTACATAAACTCATCTGGGGAGGAATAGACAAATCTCTACAGATGGAAGTAGAGGGGCACTGTGCTGGATGTTCACCTGGATGTCAGCTTCTCGTTCTGGCATTGGTCCAAAGTGCTGCAGGATCTGGTTGTGGAAGCGGATCTTGAGGTTCTGGAACCAGTCGCGGGCCTGCTCATAAACGGCATCATGCAGCTCTTGTAGTCTCTCTAGCTCTTCTCTGTCCTCCACCTAATAGAAAAGAAACTATTAACCTATCATCCACATTTGGATGGTTTAAACTTAAAAATATATTCCTAAAGAACTGGCAACTAATCTGAATGGTAGTTTCATATTTAAAAACATAGAATTTGGGGGAGAGCATGATTATAACATACTGTTGAGAATATCATTCAAATGTTAGTCACTGAGATTCTTACCCTGGTATCCTCCAAGTGCTCAATGTCAGCAGTACTATATCCATCCTTCATTCCTCGGGACAGTACCCGGAAGCGTTTTCCTCCAATGGTGTCCGCTACTGATCGTCCGTCGGGGAGAAAATGGACACTCCTGATGGTCAGCATGCAGCCATAATCTACAAACCTACAGGGATGGACACAATAGTTTAATTAGACAATTGAGCAGTTGACTGCCTGCTTGACATATTTAGCAGTTTTTTTTATCATGGTGTATATTAAAATTAATGATGGATGATCTTAAATGAACCTCTTTTCTAGATATACAGAAAGGTGCAGTTTTAAATCCTGCATGCTCACCCTTTCTGAGGATCATTAATGCACATCCCAAACTGCCGCGTGCCTGTTTCCATGCAGCGGCGAATCATGAGGCGGTAACGTGGCTCGAAGACATGCAGGGGGCAAGGCACGGTGGGGTAAGCCATGGTACACACAAAGATAGGCACATTCTTCGTCAGGCTGCAAACAAGGAGAGAAACATTTTAGACCGTTTGAACCCCCTTTATTCTTCAGCATGCCGAAACATCTGATGATGACGACTGGCATCAACCAGGCCAGACACAAATACTTACTCAGAAAGTTCTCTGGTCTCCTCCACGTGAGTTTTAGTCCTCTCTGCGAAATCCTGACTCAAATACTGTTTGATCAGTGTATCCAAGACAGTCGTCACCATGTACTTCCTACATGCTAGATACTGGAGAGAGCAAGATATGAGTTGAATGATGAAAACACGAAGCAAGGAATCCATATTCTGATAAGCACGATGCTAGCCAAATATTTTTTATCCAGATTAAGTAGATACCAAGACTGGTCTCTCACCTCTTTCAGGCTCTCTTTACAAAGGGGACACTGGGGTGTATGGTCCAAGCAGCGTTCCAGACAGTTTTTACAGAAGGTGTGGCCACATTGTGTAGTCACAGGCTCATAGAACAACCTGTATTGATCACAGAGATGCAACATTTAAGTGTTTATTCTCAACAATTAGTCCTTTATATGTGTACAATGTGAGCTGGCATGTAAACTTCATGGTAAATGCGGGCATGTCGCCTGCTACTGTGTGACCTTACCTCATGCAGAGAGAGCACTCCAAGTCAAAGGGGTCCAGCAGGTCCTTGGGAACACTTCTGCAAGTTTTAGCTTTGGCAGCGTGTTGTTTGGAGCCTTTCGCCATACCTAAAGTCAACCAGAGAGAAGAAAGCATTTCACAATTAATTTCTCTCTATTTATCTCGGCCATAAATAAAGTACTAGGTGGATAAGTTTATATGTTAATGGGATATAAACATGTGCTTATTAATTGATAATAGAGATAAGTCATATACACAGCAGAACACAGCAGTACTATTATTCTGGCAAGGTCTGTATTAAAGTGTCCAATTAAGCTTAATTTTATGCACCATTACTGCTATTACATGTTTTGAGTTATACATATTGGTGTGACAAAAGAAGCAAAAAAGGTTTAATTTGGAAATTAAAATATAATACATTGGGACCAACAGAGAGCAATACAATGGTGGGATTGGGCACTGACCTTGTTTTTTATGCTTGCTAGTTCCACTGTCCACAACACAAGCTTCTGTGTCTGACACTGACAACTTCCTCTTCAGAAGGCTCCCCTTGTCCTGGTCCCCCAGCTGAGGAGCAGAGCAAACTCTCTTCAGCCCTTCCTCACCACAACTAGAGCCGTGCATCCGTAGCGAATGAGCTCGGCTCAAACCAGGACGCTCCAGGCTTTCCCAGCGTTTCTGAATAACAAGACAGAAGGCAGAAGGGTAAGAAGATGATAATGATTCTTTATACAAATGTGGCAACGAAAATATTGAATCAATTCATTGATAAATTAGGTGATATAATTATTGAGTGTGCTAGTACCTCCTGGTTGTGCAGATGGTGGTGTGCTGAAGCGGCCCGGACCTGGTGTTGTCTTTGGACTGGGCTCTGTGGTTGAGCCTGGGCATCAGCCACGAGGGTTTTACTGCGCAAGTGAGGTGACGTGTTTTGTGTGGTTTCCCTCAGGCCGACCTTGACGTTCTCATCAGCTGGTGACAGCAGGTCACACAGAATCTGTAAAAAGCAATTACAATTTCTCTTAGAAAGCTGATCTCCTCAGGGGTAAGATCAATATCAGGGTAATCAATTGATGCAAACATGGATGTCTGCATCCATCTTTGTTGTATATTGCATCGATAGTCATGAGGGTAGAGTCTTGTATATGGTGTCATATAAAATTCAATCCAACCACCAGATGTTGGTGTAAACTGAATATTGCTCTACATCTCATAAAGTAAGCTTATAGTGCATCTTGTACCATTTGACAGCCATGGCTTCCACTGTTAGCACGGTATTAGCCTCCTCAAAGGTTTTGAGAAGTCTTTTTGACTTTAGTGGCAAAATTATGTTTGAATTTGTCATGTCTTGTGTCCTGTAAGTGGGTTCAAACTAATCATTTTTAAGCATTTCCAAGATTTGAAACATACAGCGTGTGGTGATGTTTTGTCCTCTCTGCACAAAGGGGTTATTGAAAAAAGATAAAACATACATAATACTATAAATCAAATTCCATAACTTGGTCATGATAATGTCCAAGGAGATATGAGGTGAAAAGGGAAAGCAAACTTTGTTCAGACAGTGGCCTTGTCCTGTGTTCAGAATAATTATCAGCATGACCTCTATCGGATCTCAGTTTGAGACAGGAGACCATCAACCATTCTTCATAGTTAAGTTGAAGCTGATCTTTTTGAACTCATTTTAAACATAGCTAGTGCTGTAGTGCATCATCAGACAGACTCACTCTTCACACAGCTCTTTCATTTTCCTCTATATTTGCATTATTTCCCAGAGTCCTGCTGACAGAAATCATCACGTATTACTGATAACCTGGAAAGATTTTAGTGTCATTTTTGTAGAGGTTTCAGTTTGTTCATTTTTACAACTCATGAGTAACCAAATAATGGGCATCATTTGTCATCTCTCAGTGAGGGCAACAAGTATGGAGACTGTCACTTTCAATTGTATTAATTTTCTGTTTTCATTATATGGGTATGAAGAAGGCCTTTGAGCGTGATTACAGGTTACACAAACTTGATTTGACAATCTATTGATGCATGTTGTCTGACTCCCACACCGCTGTAGATTTATGTCTCGCCTGAGCAGCGTCTCCTTCAGGATTATGAAGATAGGGATGTCAATACAACCGGCAACCTATTACAAGAGGTCCAATCAATTTCACACACTTTGAACATCTCCAGGTCACTTTAAAGCGAAAACTGGAGATGACTAATGTTATTACATATGCTTCCTTATACAATGATGACTCACAGATGATTACACAAAACTGGAGCAGCGTTTATAAAAAGAGAGAAATGCTCATAAGATTTGATCAATATTAGCTCCTAAATCAATATGAACGAGCATAATAATGACCACTGTGAGTAATCTCAGTCAGCACATTCAAGACACCCTTTCTATGCATAGAGGACAATGCACAGTGTAAATCCTATTAAAAACA